TGGGTCTCTTTTTTCCCTCCTCTCCTATTTGTTTTCATCAACTGTATCCCCTCTATCCTCCCTCCATTCCTCCTCCACTTTTCTCCTTCCTCTCCTAACTCCCCTTTATCGCTACCTCATTTCAATATCCCTCTTATTATTATCATCTTATTTGACCTGATCTCAAAAAAAAAAAAAAAAAAAAAAAAAAAAAAAAAAAAAAAAAAAAAAAAAAAAAAAAAAAAACAAAAAAACAAAAAAAATGATTCCACTAATACATACGTTTAACCTTTCTTTTATTTCCTGTCATTTTCAATAGCATATCTCTCCTTTTCGACCTTTAATGCCCTTTATTGTTTAATTATTAATTGTTACTTATTATTTCAATATATTTGCAAATGATTATTGTTGCAAGAAAAAAAACACACACATACGCATACATACACACACACACACACACACACACACACACACACACACACACACACACACACACACACACACACCAACACAGGTACAAACTTTGAATGCATCATTGGCATTGCAAATATGACGAGTTCATTCCGCATGTACACTCATCTGAATCCAATCTTGAGAGCCTTGATAACTATTTCGTTTTTATATCCGTCGTCTGATCTATAACCTCACCTTTCTCTTTTTTTCAAAAAAAAAAAAAAAAAATTTGTTTTATAACTTCTGTTTTATCTGAAAATTAATTCTGCACGGATATTCAATAAGCATTATTGGTATTTTATTGCTATTTTTCTCACCTTCAAAAAAAGAATTTCCAAAATTATACTTTATTCTTTAATGATTTTAAGATTAATGTAATGAATTATCAAAACTTATACTTTGAGCAATTTCATTTTGCTTTAACCAGTAATCAATCTTGCTTTATTTGTATCTTTATTCCTTCTAAAATTTAAACTTTAGTGATCATTATAGCTAAATATTTTATGAATAGCAGAAAAGAAGAAAAAAAGAGGTACTTATCACTTTTTATTTAGTATTAATTATAGTTAGCATCTTTACATGGATATTTCTTATCATTTTTTCTATTTTTTTCACTAATTGCTAAACATATTCCAATGCTATTAATTTACGAAAAATTTTGAAATAATATTCGTTATCTACTAGAAAAAAAGTGAACGAAAAAAATATTGAAGGTAAAGTTAGAAATTAATTTTATGCTAATATTTGCAAATGATGAATTCCATTTTGCATAGCATGAAATTAATATTATCAAATTTGATTGTAAAAATGTATTCAATGTAATATCTATCAATATTATTTGGCAACATTTTTTTTTTCTTTTTAGCTTGAGCAAAATTAATTGTTTCCCGATAGACACTTTCCAATTTTTCCATCTTTAAAATTATTTCTGAATTAAAATCATTTAAAAAATATGATGTGTAATACGAATTGTTGTTGAATTTTACAATTATTATTCAATCGAAGTTATGCAAAGAAATGCTGATCTCTTCCGGTAGTTTTTTTTTCCTTGGACAGAGAAAATTAAATAGTACAATTTAAAATTTATCCATAGGAGAGAATGAGTGGTAATTAATATGAAATTAAAAAGATTGCTGTTCTGATTCACTTGTAAATTCCTATTTGTCAGCAAAAAAAAACAACAGTTTCACTATCGTCTTCCTTGTCACATTTTTTTACACCATCAATAGACGAATGACATTCCGTACGTTTCTGTTGCACATCCAACAAACACCCTTCATGATTTTTTCACCGTTTTATTCTGTTTACTTACTTGTTTACCGGAAATTAGACGACGAGTAATTGTAAGTATTGATCAATTCATTTTTTTTTTTCACAGACAAAATTCGAACATTATTTATGATGATAGAGATTTAATAATGTGAGCAACGATGCTTTTGATATGTATGTTTATTTTCTATCTCTTCAATTTCTACTTTTATAACTTTGCTAACAAACATTGATAAGTAAGAGAAAAATGGTAAAATTAGTGAGTTGTTATAATTTCATTGAAAAATATCATAAAAGCATCGTTATTAAAATTTAGTCATGAAAAAGATCAAATTTTTTGGATAAATTTAGACATTTTAAATCAAAAGTTTCACTTTATTAGAATGAATTGGAACAGATCAAAATTGAGGAGCATTCGATGCAGTTGTGTTCAGTTGATTAGTCCAACTATTTTAATTCATAATTTTTAAAAGAAATAAATCAAAGACAGAGCCATGAAAGATGTAATGTAGTATACCTGAATGAGTTGAAATTTTAGGACAGCACTTTTGTTCCATTGATAAAATTTCTGGAGAGATTTAAAATCTTCATGAAAAATTTCCGTATTGTATTAAATATTTCATCTTTGTTAATTTATCCAAATTAATGGATTAATTTTCTTATATATATATTTTCCTTTCATCTTTATTAACTTAATTTAATTTTCCAGAATTATTTACAATTATATTTTGAAATAATACCTTATTTTCATTTCTTCCTTTATTTCTTTTTTTCTTTTTCAACACCAAACTATTTTGTTGACATTGTTAGTCACGTTATCTTATCTTTTATATTTCATTAAAAAAAAGTGAAAAAACAAAATTCATCCGTTTTGTAATTACCGATTTGCTCTATTTTTCTCATCATTTCTTTATCTTTTTAGTCATAACAATCTATGATTGAATAATTTAAGAAAAAAAAGATACAACACACCCGAACAACATAAATAATGACAAATTAAAAAATCCGAAAATCGTTTCATAAAATACAAATGGTGTTAATTTGTTATATTGATGGACTAATTAGAATAAAGAAATAAAGGGTGGGAAAGAAAGAAACAAAAAAGAAACAAAAGGAGCTATTCATTTCAAACATTTTAATGTAATAAACTTTCTTCATACCTAAATTCCCGTTTAAGAATATAATGTAATTTATTTTTTCAGGTAGTTACGTAAGAAATGATGATGATATCAGAGCATGAGAATAAAGGAAATATATTGGTAAAATTTGATGAGCAGAGAAAATTTAGCATTTCTTTTTTTCTTTCTTTTTCTTTTTCATGAATTATGATTTGTTTAGTTAAATAGAAAAATTAATGAAGTATGAAAAATTAATGGGAAATGGCTATTAATCGTTTGCAACATTTTCTTGGTTTTAAATATATAGTTTGAAAAGAAAGAATAACATTTTTCATTTTTTTTTTTGTTAAAAAAAACAAAAAAGCAAAATGTCAAAAATAAACTAATTATCATAGCATTCATACTTTCGAATTTAACTTTTCTTTAACCTTTTTAAACTTAAAAAATTATGGTTGCAATTGTTTTCTTCTTTTTAATACAACGATTATATCTTCTCGAAATGAGCCATCTCAAGAAGCTCCATTTCAGATCGCATTTACAAAATACGAATAGCTTTGGATGGAATATATTAAAGAATAAATTGTTCGAATCGTTAAAGTGCAAAAATCTGACAATACTGTCTCATTGTTTCCACTTTTTTTTTTACATGAATATTGAAATGGAGAAGTATGAAAAATGAAAAACGTTATGAAATATATGCAATGAATTTATTGAAATGAACCACTAGCAATTTTAAACGATCATGTCCATGATATCAATTTCAATTTGAATCCTATCAAATTGTATTATAACTATATCCATCAACGGTGATCACTATATTGATTAGTTATGAGTGTAATATCGTATTTCCTTGGAAATACAATCTAGATCTTCTGGAACAATAATATCCAATCTCATTTTTTTTAGATGATCATCTAACAATTGTTAAAGATAGAATAATTCCTTTCAGTTGTACATTTTTCACTCATTGTATATTCAATTATAAGAAAAACAAAAAAAAAAATAAAATAAAACTGTAACGCTCACTTCGACATTGAAATCAGATAAGAGGAATTTTGTAGAAAAAAATTTTTTTTGTCTCTACTAATTTACAGGAAATCCAGTGTTAATCTAATGGAGCATTCATATGTTTGTCAACATCTTTGAAATTATTAATTTGATGTTGATTGTCTTTTTCATATTTACAGGATTTTTCAGCATACAAAAGATGTCCGTGAAGGAATTCAAAGGGAAGTAGCCAATAGCTAAAGAAAGTGCACTGTATAGCATCAATGATATTTTACAAATGGCAGTACTAACAGGTTTCGGACCATTTTTAGTGCTACTGGAACTTATCTATTATCGGTGAAGTGAATTATTTCGAAAATTTTTTGGAGAAAGAAAAAAAAAACTATGTGTGTCTGTGTGTGTGTGTGTGTTTCGGTAAATCGTTCAATATCATCATTTTAATGATGAGGTATATCGCACTCTGAAATCCGACACTTGTAAAATGATTGAAAATTATTTTTTTAGCTCCAAATTAAGCGAAGAAAAATCGAAAGTACCCTTGTATAGTATTGTACGATTTTTCAGTTATGACATTTGAGATTCGAAGTTATAATCCGAACTGTAAAATGATTTTGTTACACCGACGAAGAGCTTACTACTTTATATGAGGGGACTATATATGTTAAGAAAGTCTTGTAGTAAATGTCTGATGTTATCCCGGAACCCTTGCGTATTTTTCTTTCATATCAAACATTCAACTCAATACTAGAATCATTTATGCCTGATTTCAGCCATTATTAGATTACATCATATGCATACCGAAATATCGTACTTTTTTTAACATGAACTATTAGAAGAATTTCATAGAGATCTTGCACATTACAATATATGATTTATTAATCTGTCTAAAACAATTTAAACATCGTCCACACAAGGATGTTAAGTATCTTTATGGAATATTAGAAGTTTGATAACAAAATGACACCTAATTACAAATAAAAATATGTCTTCAATGCGCAAAAGAAAAAATAATTCCAAGATTATTGGAGAATACAAAAGAAATATTGGTTTCTCTATACATTCATAAATACTTTTAGCCTTATATCGAGGTATAAGCGTAATTTAAGACGCACGTACATTCAATCCATTAATTGCATCAATTTGCAGTAAACAAAAATTAAAAAAAATTGTACGTCAAGATAATTGTGTTATCAATATTTTACTAGCTTGTTTCGTTCGGAATAAAATCCGGGCATTAAGTAGAGTTGGATTCTTTTCCTGCAAATGAGTGATCCAAGCAACTGCGGTGTCCTGACAAACTTTACCAAAAACTGAAAGGGCCAGAACTGTTTCATGCTCTTGTTCATGGATACTGCATTCTGGACATTTTTCATATCCTCCATCCCACTCGCTCTTCCAGTTTTCAAAGTCTTCATCCTGAAAAAGAGCAAGAAGGCTGAAAGCTGCAGAAGAAATTGACCAGATAATTAACCTGATCGAGAATCAGCTACTAATTTAATTTACAAAATGCTTGACCGTAGTTTGGCAAAATTCCAAATGTACGGCGACTACTTTAAATGCAATTTGACATCGATACTGCAATTTCTCAAAAACATAGAAATTTAATTTATATTAGAAATAAAACGACTTTTAGACCAATAGAACATGTCAAGATATGCTAAAAAATATTAAGATTATAACAAATCATCAGAAGCTGCTTTTCGTATTCAATCTAAATAAAATTTATTCTTAAGTACGGACGTCTTCTAATATAAAAAAGTTCTTACCAGCTCATCCACCTCATACTTTTCATAGCATTGAGATTTCGGATCACTAGAAAGAACAACGTACTCAATACATTTATCCATTAAATACACTTTATTAGGTCCATCCACATACAACGTAGTATTTTTTTCCAAACCTTGCAACAATTTCTTTTGAAGATGACTTTGAGCAGATAACAACCATCTATCCGATTCATTTAACTCTATGTCATTAATCTGTAAAACTTTATAATTAATAATCTTGAAATTTCGGATGAAATATTTCCTGAAAAGAAAAACTTTCTATGGAATATGAAGGAGACTTACGCCAGATATTTTCTAAAATCCCCTTTTAAAAAGTTAACCGTTAAAAAAGAATTACTTTCCAATTGTAACAAATACTCTAACAACAGACGAAAATTATACAACTGTAAAAACTCCAGATAAACTAACCCCAACAAGTGTTATCCGTGTATTTGGGTCACGTGATATCATTTTTAATACTAAGTAACCAAGATCTACAGCACTCAGCTTTTTGCCCTCAATTTTTCGACGATCCAAATAGGTATTCGAATGTTTCAATTTTGGCATCCAATACATCATGCGCTTCACTTTTTTCGTGGCATAATTCCATTCACCAAAAGCGTTAACAACTAAATCATGGATTTCTTTGTCAGGCTGCACTCCTGAAATGCTTAGAAACAGTCAAGCAATCACATAATGATTCTTTTTACATTTTACACAAAAATCTTACATGAATGGTTACGTTAAAGTACGGTCCTGTTCATATCGCATCGCTAAATTAAAATTTCTATTTAAATATTAGGCCAAAATGTCAAGAAATTCAGGAAAACCACTAACCAAACCATTCCATTTCATCGAGAAGTTTGGTGCAACATATCTGCTGTTGAGGATAATATAGAAATCTTCGCTGAAACTCATAAGATTACAGCAGTTTCATCTCATATTACAATAGAAATAAATGAAAAAAAAGCACCAGCTGATATTGAAGAAAAGCACAAACAATCCAAACCTGAAAAACATTCTTAGGTATCATTGGTCCTTTCGGAAATACATTGAGCAACGATTTATAAATATCCAGATCCTTCTGTAACCCGTATTCCTTCATATATTTTAGTGCCGAATTTATAAACTCCACGTGTCCTCGAGCATGTATTTGTTTTTTACAAAAATTATCTGAAACAAAACAAATTTAATGTAAACACCTGTAAAGGACATAAAACCCTGTTTCTCCCTTTTGATCACTTCTTACGCGTCTTTATAACAGCGTCAATGTGATTAAATACTCTAAAATCACTAAAGTCTAACTTCGAAATTTGGTCACTGACATCGTAAGTCCTCTTCAAAAAGTTGATTTATGGTTTTGCTTGCTGTTCAATTATGTCATTATCGATGACAAGCTACTACGGAAAAACTATATGGTCTTCGTTAAAACATTCTAATATAAGGTCAAAAATCTTTAATTTTCATAGTTTTCGTCAACCATACAGAAAATTTACTTCTACATAGTTCAGAGTCTACCAGTTTACCGGAATTTCTCTGTCATCTTTCATAAGTTATCCTGAATGATATAAGTCCGATAACATTTAGAAAAACGCAATTCCCGAACTCACCGATAACATTTAGAAAAGTTTGTTTGGTACGCAATTCGGCTGCCACCTCCTGAAAACGCTGTTCGAATGGAAGTAACTCTTTCCTACATTTTTGATTGCTCTCGGATGCAAAACGATATATCAGACATTGCACTGGCTTACAACACAGCGATATCCTACAATACGACCCCAATAATTTGTTTGCAACTTTCATCCTGAAATGATAAGAAATTTTATCTCAATTGATAATATTTTGGATATTCTACAAAATGCCAATTCAAAGTTTGCCCTACAGCTAGGAACCAATGCGTTCAGGAATTTACATATTCACATATAAAATGATCTTGCAGTATTTACCAACTATCGGAATATGTGCAGTATACGTGTGAACTAACTTCATTGCTGTTACTGTATAATTTAAATTTTCACTTGCTTCAGGGAGGAAAACTTAAACTAAAACATCCTGAATATATTACGTGAAAACCACTGTCTCGATCATCAAACATTATCGTCGCATGCAACGATGGTTCTCATAAGGTCAAAGGTGTGCATGTGTATGTTTATAGGTGTGGTGTGTGTTGCTGAGATTAGATTACATTTGCTACGATTAGTATTATCAGTGATGGAGTGTGTGGAAAGTTAGGCCAATGGAATGGTAGGTAGGATCAAGAAGGTAAAATGATCAGAAATAAATATGGTCTGAAATTTCTGGAAAAGAGAAAGGAATGTTCGAATAAATCAATCGATTATGAAATGGTGTAAGAAAAAAGAGAAACGATAGAAAAGTTTGAAAACCGATGTGTCACATTCTTCCATCGGTTATTTTGCTACCTTTTATCTTTACTACACGTTTTTAATGTGATATGAGGATGTACATTGGATTATTCCATTCCTGAATACTTTCACAATAGTGAAAGGTTCACATAATGTAGCATTTCATTAGCCTCTCTCTTCTTTACTAAAATTCCTGGCATCATTTTTCGTTGATTGTAACCATCTCAATTTCTAAATTAGCAAATATTCAAAAATTTTTCCAAAATATATGGCATTTGTAGTCCCATTTATTCTGTTTGAAAGTTTCATTAACTCATTTCATTTGATAAAATCTTCAGTGAGCGGTGTCCAAAGAGGTAAGCGGTGATGAGGAAGATGGATGGTAGGGGGTATCTCCGGGGTATCTGAGTATGATTGTCTTGATAACTGTCATGCGCATAAATATCACATGTACCTCAATGCATAGAGTTAATAAACCTTGGCAGTATGCCAGAGACATGATTTTATAACGAATCTTCAGGATGAATTATTCAGGTTATACGGAGAATACTTTAGGTTGTGAGGACGACTTTTGAAGGATTCATCCTTGTCATCGTTTTCATTTATCACACTTGTCTGCACATAAGGTAATAATGGGTTAATTAAGAATTCCTGTTCCTTAATGAGACATGACTGGGTATGTTATGACATGACTGGATATCACATAGGATATAATCAGATATATAACAAAACATGACCAGATTTGCGATGAGATAAGGCCAGAGCAAAAGGAAGATGTAACCGGGTTCATCGTGATATATGACTGGGTCTGCAAAAAGACTCTGAAGATCATTACAAATATGACTGTAGAGGGATAAGGAAGAAAGGGTGTAACATCAATTCTCGATATCAACCAGTAATGAGCAAGGCAAACGATGACATTACATCACGAGCACTTTAAAATTTTAAAATTTGAATAATATTAGATATATTCAACTTGTGGTTTATCTTCAAACTCCAATCCATTGTAGCATTTATCGTAGTGGGGATTTGTGCATTGTTGGGTGTTGCATTAAGGTACATTGCGCTTGCGCTTCTTTTTTCAATTGTATATTGCACGTACACTTTTTTCCATTCTTTTTTCTAGGATCTCTTTTTGGTATTTGTTTCGGACTAGATTTTGTGAATATTTAAAAAAGCGCCTTCTTGATTGAGATATGAAAATCGATTCTAAAACATTACGGCCGTGTAGTGCAGAAATTGTAAGTTGAATTTTTTTCCAATTGCATGAATTTTTCATTCATTATTTTTTTCCCAGTTTTATGAGAGGTAAAGCATCATATGACCTATAAAAGTACTGGTAAGCATATTTTATTCAGATCCTTGCAGTGCTACGAGTAGAATACTCGGTAAAATTTGTTGGAACTGATGTTTTATTTTAGTTTCCTCGATGTATGCAACTTATTGAACATATCAAATCATCCTCAGATCGGAGGATGTTTCTGAAACGACTGACTGAAGTTCATGAATGGCAACCACAATTTGGGAAAGTAAGGAAATTATGCTTTGTCTTGTGCACTGTAGTTGCTAATATTTCAGCAAGTATATCACAATTTGTTTGTTAGTAAGTTTTTGTTTTTTTTAGTCCGAAATGGCGAGATGGTCTGACGTTTTGAACATGTGCGATGAGGTATTGAAGGATGCCGTAACATGTAGTTCATCACCGGGTGCACCGATGGCTATCGACGAAGATCAGAACCTATTACCAGACGTCACATCTGTTCTTTCTTTTACCGCTATGCTTTTCGAGAACACTTTCACCCGTTCAGTCTACAGTTCTACTGATGTTAGTATCATAAATTAAAATTGCTGACATCTGAGATTTATTTTGGAAAGAAAAAGCGAGACTAAGATTGCTGACAAAGCTTCCATAAATCTATTTGTGCAACCTTCATGAAATTATTGGTATAACTTACAAGATGTAAATACCGTGACTGCCCTAATGTGCTGCAACATCGCTCCTTTAGCAAGACTGCATGCTAGATGTAGAAATTTTCCATTGATCAACCTATTCTGTTTAACCCACCCTTTGTTTATAGTTCTCATTTTGGTTTGATTATTCCTGTTTGTCATATTTTGCTTAGAACGAACAATTTCAGCGCCTGTTAAACTTGTTGGATTCTGGTAATGTGGAGGTTGTTGTGGAAACGTTGCGATTACTGTTGGTTATCAGTAAACGTTCCAGATTTCTCTCACAACATCTCAGTGATGTCCAGCAGAAAAAACTCACTATCCGACTTTCCGCTATTGCTCAGGCTTGTTTTATAGCTGTCATAATCTCTGTAACACTCCTTTTTAGGTAATAAAATTGAAGAATAAGGGAGAGAAGTGGGGAAGGAGATATTTCATTATTTTTTTTTTTGTTCGTGATGGTTTTAATCTGAGCTGTAGTCATATTTTCTAGTGCTGGAATGGCAAACTTAGAAGTATGAAGATGGATGAATGTTGTACTACGAATGTGCGACCTTCCGCTTTGTTACCAATCGGATTTCAGACGGACACGAACAATCTTGTTCGTTCTATACATGTTAGTTATTCTTTGTGACCTGATACATATTTAAAATTAAAAATAAAATTAAAATGAAGAAACTAAGAATTCATGACTGTTTACGATGGATCCGTATTTCATTAATCAATAACAAAGTGATGATATTAAAGAATTGATCCGTCTCTATCTCTTTACAGTAAAGAAATTTTCAGTTAGATAAGAGTTTTGCGGCTGAATTGGAACACTTGTTGTCAGGTAAAAAAATTGAGGAAGATGAGCGTGCATCTTTCATAGCTCGCTTACGTCTAGTACGGTCATTTAACACTTCTCGCGGTCGTCGTCTAAGTATTATTGCGCGCCTTCTTTCATTATCTATACTGGGTGCGTATTTTTGATGTTTATTTGTTTTTCTATCTCAACACTTCATTCAAAAAAAATTAAGTAGCGCAACATTTCCATTTGCAGTTTACACTCGCAGTTTGATAGAAGAATGGGCAATGACTACAATGCTTTATGATGGCCTTATTGAAGAAATAACTCGTTTATTACTAATTAATAATACGTCTGAGTCAATTATTGATGCAGTTAAAACGGAAGCACTTCGTACGCTAACCAGTATTGTTTCGCTTGGAAGACCTGCAAAGTAAAGTGTTATTTGTCCATATTTTTAATTCTCACTGATTCTTCTGAAAAAAATCTTCTAGTAAGTGGCTGATAGCGAAAATGGAGACATTCAGTTATTCGTAAATAGGTGATGTAATTGTCTTTAGGACATGGTTGTGCATGTTCTATCTGCCATAAGCTCATTATGTTAGCCAAACTGGGATATTTACTGGCTTGGTGGTTAGTGATGCTGATTACTGCTGATAACTCGAAGCTTATAAAAATCCTTCAGAAATAGAATGGAAAAATTACAGGTTGAACATAGTAGTGGAATCCCTCGGAGTAAATTCGTATCACGGTTTCCTGGCTCGAATGACTCGCCAGTGTGTCGACGACTTACGGTGCGGAAGAATTGGAAATGGGTATACAACGGTGCCATTTTGCACCGCCCTGTTTTCTTTGCTTTATCATCTTGCAGGATTTGAAAATGGTAAGTTTTCTAGTTAGTTTTCTTTACCGTCATAATACTATTCAATGGTATTCGCAGTGGAATGAATATTTTATTAATTGTGTCTTTACAGGCGGTGAAGCATTAGTTTCGTGCGCTTTAACGGAGACATTACTGGGTGTAGTATCCTGTGAAACGCTGCCTTTAGAACTCATTACTTTTGTTACACGTGCTGTCCGCGTTATCGATATCATGACTTCGTTAGATGCTAATGGTTTTACATCCTGCAGTGGAATGAGCATTATTGTTCATCGATTAATTGTTAGTGTTTGTGAAATTTTTATCAAGGTGAATAAGAATGGCGTTCGAGTTGCTAAGCTCAACTTTAGATTTTACTTTTGATTTTTGCATTGGAATCCTTAATCAGTAATTGGGTTATATATAATATTCTAGCTATATGTATAGTAGGGTATAATGAATACGAAATTCATATTTGTGACCTTGAGTTTTTACAGTTTGATGTCAACATATGCATGAAGCATCTGGCAGAACTGAGCATTACTGGACCTACAACAGAACAGTGTCATCAGCAACGTGCTGCACTGATTAAATCATTACTGAATTTCATCAAAAGAGCTGTTCAGGATACACAGTTTGCTGATAGTACTCGACATAGTAAATTTGTTCTTTAATATCTCTTGGGAATGTTGGGAATTTTGAGAAGCAGGTTTAAAGTTTATCAGATACATTTGCATAAATTACGAAATACACTAGAATTTTGCGAGATTTCAGTCATGGATGGTGCTTTACCGAATGCTTTAATGCATATCTTAACAAACTGCGGATTTTTTGGAGCTTCACTATTCCACAATGGTCAGGATTTGATTGTTCTACAACGATTATGCCAGTGACTTTGGTCAAAGCATCATGTCACGGACAAATTTTCAAATCACAGTCATCCCTACTATTTAAGATAATTCAAAAATATTCAATTTTAGATCAATTGCTTAAAGTGAAATTTTTTTGTTTTCCTTTCAGTTTGTGGTTTGTAATGTCGCTTTTTTTTGTAGCTGTTTGCTTGATTACAAATTTCATCTACCAGGAACCATCGTTGCTTACGTCTTTGCAAGAGAAAGGTGTTACGAGTGCTATTTTGAGGGCAATATTCCGTCAAGAGGTCTGGTTATAAAAATATGAAGTTGAAACTGTAATAAATGCCTCAAATTTGCAAATAATAGTGTTATTTGCTATTTTTTTAGTTACCCGCTTCTCGCGATGTCATTGTTGCATTACCGAACACATTCACTGCTCTTTGCTTGAACGATCGTGGACTGAAAGCTTTTATCGATGAAAACCCTTTCGATCATTTCTGTGACATTTTCGTGTCGACCAAATACATATACGCTATGAAATGCCGTCGGAACGAAATGAGTAAGTTGTTGCTGATTTGTTGACTTTATTGATCTTGCAGTTCGATTTTCCAGGGAACAGTGTTATGTCGGCTTGATGCTTAATGAGTGCTGATGCTTAAGGCTGTTGATGCTAGTTGTTAAATATTTTAGTAATTGCTGTAAGGTTTGAAATTTTTGATATATGAAAATTTCTTACATATAAATATATAGGAAATTTTCTTACATATAAATACTTATATATAAATACATGTGATAATTGCAGATGAAGTAGCTTCGAATCTTGGCACAGCGTTCGACGCCTTTTTGCGCCATCATCCGACTCTGCGCGAAAATTTCCTTAATTCATTGGCTAAGGTATACTTCTGTCTCCTAATGTGAAAATTTAGGACCGAGTTATCGCATTTTGTGTTAATTGTATTTCTTCGGTATTTTAGATGTTGAATAAATTGCTGGATGTTGTATCTGCGGATTCACCACGTTGCGTCATGTCTCTTGCATCATGCCGCAGTGGTCAAACAGCTTTGGCAGGTTCTTCGAATACCGTCGTTTCGTCGGCTTCTCCCAATCGAGATGATGAAACTATCATGGCAGGCAATGTTTCTTCGGATGATGACGATGATGATCCAGCTTCAGCTGTTGCAAATATGTAATGTTTTTATAATAGGAATTTAAGACTCGTATGCTTTTTAGTTAATTGGCTAAAATGATAGCTGTCGTTTGCAATATGACATTTCCTTAGAGCGAAATTCAAAAGGATTTTGAAAATTGGGAAAAATGTTAATCGTCTTAATATAATGTGGTAGGAGCTTAATGTAAGGTTTGCGTGGAATTTGCTCTTATACAACTGCTTGACTATTAGAGACAAAATCGTTATTGATTACCATTATTAAAATTTAGGGAAGAAATGCATACGACCGAAAATGAATTACCTCAGTTCGATCTTGGTCTCTCGTTATCGATTATGTGTGACGGAAATCCTCTTATTCCTCTTGGCGAGTATCTGCTGAATATCGGAAAATTTCTAGAAACACTGTTGACTCATAATGCATCATCTGAGCAAGCTGATATTTTTATACAGTCTGGTGCTGCTGATAAATTACTTTCTCTACTCTTTGTTCGACAGATTCCGTTAGAATTATCGCAATCATTATTTCCGCAATTGGTCACGAATATAATGCGATTTCTCTTTGTAAGTTCATCAGTTATTTTATATATAACTTTTCAGTAATCACATTCAGACGACAGGTTTTTTCTTTCCGTGCAGTGTTAATTTGATAATACTACAGCTGCTCAATGAACCGATTTAAACAGTCATAATGTTGAATTTGATGGAATAGTTAGATGATTAGGGGTCTGAACTGCTTTTAGAAATAGATATTTCTAAAGTTCAAACCACCAATTATCCAACTACTCCGTTAAATCCATCGATGTGATAGATACTAGTGATTGGAATTTCCGAGATTGAATTTTGTGTTGCCAGGAGTAGTCTATAATCAGTTCCCACTTGGAACTACGGTGAAATGTTTAGATTAGATTTTGGAATAAAAGTTCATGGATATTTCAAAAAAAAAAGAACAGATTACTGAATCGTTAGTACTGATTTCATATTTCTATGTTTTCATGTTACAGCAACATACAAGGAGTAGTGATGTGATAGATATGGTTGCGAATCGGCTGAACAAATTTTGTGTGGATATGTTAAGTTCGTGTAGCGCGAATGAAGATTCATCGAAACCGTCGTTACTTGCGATGAGTTTATCAGATACTTCGTTGGCAAACATCTGTGCGATCACAGTTTTTTGTTCTGTTCTTGGCAGTTTGTCAAAAACTGCTCTGGGAAGTAACACATCCACTAAAACAGCAATTCTAAGATTTTGGACAAATGAAGGTTGTAGACTTCTCGCCTCCTGTAATCAGGCCCAGAGGTGAGCTTTTAAACTACTATCTATCCAACGTTACATTCATGAGAACTAATAGAAATCAAAATTTTTAAAATTCTTTTTCAGAGTAGTTGTTTGGGAAAGTGCGGTTTTGCAAGTATTTAATGCAACGAATAAATGCACAACTTCTACACAAACAGATGATATTCAATCAGATGAACAAATAGGAGAAGCTAATATAACTCAAGGGCACGATTCGGTTGGAGCAGATAGTGTACCACAGCGCGTAGGTCGACCGAAATATCTGCGTAAGTAGATCTTTAAAGATGAATTGTTTATTTGTCTCCAAAAGTTTTGTTTTTTTGGGTTTATTATAAAAATTGCAAATAATTTAATAATATGAAAAACTACTCAAATTTGTCTAAAGAAATTTGGGTTGCATCGTAAGCAGATTCGAGTTTTTTTTATCGAAAGAAAATGGGATGGAACAAAATTGCAGCAGCAAATAACTTCAAAAGAAGAGAAAATTTTTAATTCCTTCCATACTCTAGTAAGCTGCTGCCAATCAAGAAATCTCATATATTTTCAAAGTTGTACTAATGCAATGTCTTCTTAGTTGACGATTACTGGCTTGGTTCAAAATCAGGAACCAGTGTACTGAATCGTTGCAATCGGCAATGTACAGAATTGATGGCAATGCTCGTCAAAATATCTATCGGTGGGATGACCAGAACAAGAAGAATTCAGGAAAATGAGGGTGGCACACCATGCGAAAATGCTGTGCAGCTTGCACTACAGATAATGAAAGGTTTCCAGCAGGCTCTGGAATGGAAACCTTACGATAAAACTGATCCTGCTATAATGTTAGCTTCTCTGAAAATTTTTGAAATTGTGGGGAAATAAATTCTCGGAAAAAGTTGGGGGATTTTAAATGATTATGCTTTACCTTTATTTTTTAAGGCTACCGTATTTGGCAGTCTGGATAAACAATCTTAGCAACATTCTATTTGATGAACGGAAGAGTCCTTATCATTTGATGCTTTCCGCCTTTTATCGTACCGGTACTCATGACACATTTTTCAACATTGTCCCAAATTACTTCGGACGTGATCAAAATCAGAATTATTGTGGTACATAATTTAAATATTATTGCACTGGTACTGACTGTATTTTTGTTTAGTAATACTTTTCTGGTGATAACATGTTATGAGATATGAAGTCTTCTATAGCCTGTTTGTATTATGAATATGTAGAATATTAAACCTGTCACTGAAATTAAAGTTATTTCTAGTTGATTGCAATTTAATTTGTACCAAGTTAAACTAAATGTTTTTACCTGCAGTGGAAATGGGACAGTTGTTACAAGCCTGGTTTTCCTTAACAGAGCGATTGGTCAATGCGCACGCATTCCGCCACTCACGCTATAAAATGTCGGAAAAATTTGCGGAAGCTAAACGTTTTCCAACCGAGAAATATCTCGCAAAATGCCAGCAGGTTTTAAGTTTTTTCCATGACATTTTAACTTTGTAATAATTCACAAATCTCAGTGCATTACACCTTGTTTTCATTTGTACTTTTCAGGACGCTTTTCGACAAGCCAGTGTTGTGTTCGGCATATTACCGTCATTACCCTTAAGCGAAGCTGTTAATTTTAACATGTGTGACATGATTGTTTCGATATATCGTGAAATAGTCAAAGGAATTGTACCTTTGACTGAAAAACAAAAGCAAACTGTGGTAACAACTTCTGAAGATCGCGAAAAGTATTTTGTTCTTTGCATTTTAATTTGTAAGTGTAGTGATTGACACGGAATATTTTCCATTGGAAAATGATAAAGATTTTGTATCAAAATCTTTTGTCTCTTTGTTTTTTTTTTTGAAGTTGGTCAGTAGCAAGCTATTGGTCCAAATTTTTGCCAACTCAAATAAATGACTTTTACTTTGATTTAGCGTCAGTGCTTATAAAACGAAGCATTCATTTGAACATCTTTAATGCGATTAGTTTTTAGGATGGAAGCAGAACTTGATGAAGCAAATATTGGTCTCTTAGTTGATATGGGATTCGATCGTGATGCTGCTGTTGATGCACTGCTGGAGTATTCAACCGTTCCAGAGGCTGCCGAATATCTGATCGCAACTGACGGCTTAGGCAGACTTCGTCAATCGTCAACTGATGAGAGGATTGATGCCGATGATGTTAGCTATTAACCCTGTTTTAAATGATGAAAAAAATAACTTTGTTGATATGAAAATTATTTAAAAACAAAATTTTTTGTCCAGATTGATGCTGACGAAGGAAGTGGCAGCCAAAATAATGATTTGAATGTGGAATTCGAAGATGTCCTTTTGAAAGAGCCAATTTCCTTGAACGAAGTACCTCCTCTCGACACCCGCCTAGTATTATCTAGCCTATGCAAAGATGTACGGTATTACTGTGTTCATCTAAATTTAGTATTTCAGTATTGAAGATGATGTTAGCCCAAAAATGCCGACTTTTCATTGACTAATTATGCAGTGTTATTTTTTTCTAGAGCTACAAATTAGAAGCATTAAGTTTATTAGTGGGTTTTTTTACCATTCAGAACAGAGTTAGAAAAATTATGGTTTTACAGGTTATTCCAATTCTTTTGAATTTGATGGAACAGGGTACAGAGCTAGTGTTCAGTACATCAGAAATTATGCTGGCAATCTTAAATGAAGTAGACGATGAGTGGAGAAAAAATGTGCTTATTGGTGAATATTTGGTACAGGATATCCTTTTGATGGTGGACGAATTACGCTGTGACGAGGTTAGAAAAATTACAGGGTGTTGAATGTTGGTATTATCCGACTTTAAAATTATTAGAATACGTTGTTATAAACTAACTGCATTTTTGAGAGTTAAATATGTAGGAATATTATAAATAAGGCTAATTTACAGTTGAGGTCAAGAATCCATAGAATATAATAAGCTACTTTTGGAACTAAGAAAGCTATTCATTTCAATGAATTCAAATATCGTCACTATCACTTAGGATTATGCGATTTACTCAATAAAGATTAGAGTAAATTTCAGACTGACGAGAAAACAGTTACATCGCTTGCAACTCGTCTGCATTTCGTATGTTTGTTGTGGCCCGGCATTGCTACTACTTATATAGATGTCTTTACAGAGTATCGTCTTCACAGTGTCTTGATTTCTGTGCTTGACATGGTTATCATACACTGTGCAAGGAGACCTGCATTTGTTAGGTAAATGTTTATTCATTGGATTTACTCAAAATTCATTATACTTTTTTTAGAGAGAATGATGCATATCCCATTTTTTGTACATTTCAGGCTTATCGCACCGATATGCTTGTGGCTCGATCTGTATGATAAAATGTTAAAATTATTGGATAGCAAGGATAAAGTTGAAAAGGTCCTCATTAAATGCATTTTGAAATTGAGAGATTATGAATTTCATTGCAATTTCTTATACTTTACCTGGTTTAAGGCTATTGAATCGTATGCATGGAAATATTGGGATACCGATGAAAGAGGTGGCGTGTTTGCTTGGATTAATTATCCTCCCGCGGCCTCGCATATACTCACAAATGCATTTCTTTCTGGTCGAAGAAATTGTAGCGTAAGCGTAGGGGGCCGCCAATACACTGTTGATTTTCCGTCAATGAGTCATCGTAATGTTGAATCTCACATTGAACGACCGATTACAATTTCCGGTCGCTTGAAAGATGGAATTATATTATCCGAAATACTTGCTCAGGTTTTTTGCAAGTTATTTTTAAACCTTGGCTAGAAATGTAAGACGGTAGTAAAGTGGGTGAATTATACAGAATAACTTTGAGTTGAATTTTGCATTTCTTCAAGAAATATGGAGTACTTGACTGTGTCTGCAGTGCAGTCGCTTCATCAGCGATAATTTTTGTAATTACGAATGATCAAACTGTTTGATTAAATTTGGTCTTTTGAAAATTGTTAATTTTCTCATATATTTTTCCCTGTTTAGAGTAAAGAACATAAAGAATGGGATGAGATAGTTCGTGACAGACTTGTGTCAGCTGTCATTGGCCTTCTTAGCTTATCAAATATAGATGCAACCTCGATCCATGCGATTTTTATTTTGGCTGCACGTATTACAAGAGACTTCGTAGTCGCAAGAGAATTTTTACAGGTTGCACACATCTTTTCTCTAAACAAACTGGATTAGAAAACTTCATGTTAAAAGATTTATGATTTTGTTTGAGAAAAATTCTGATGATAGCACTAGTCGTTACGTAATGCCTAATGATTTTCGGGGAAAAAATTATTATTATATAAGACCTTTTCTGATTAGAATGTTTAATAAAGATTGATTAGAATGTTAAGATGTGTAGACGTTGAGATTTGTATTCCTGGTGATAAAGGCCTCACAGGAAATAGTCTAAATAGCTACATCAAGAGATGTAGAGCGATGGGTTGAGAACTTCGGGATTTTGTTGATTTGGATAAATTTTCTGCGAGCTTGAAAAGGCACATTCCATAGTGCACATGATTTTCAGCAGGGAGGCGTGCAAACAGTGATAAATGTGTCGGGTTCCGCAGTACCATCATCAGCCATTTTTGCGGCACTTATCATTCGTCATTGTCTCGATGATGAGATTGCAATAAGACAGATTTTCGAAAAAACAGTGCGTACAATTGCTGCAGGTGGTTATACTATCAATCCGCCTTTAACAAGATGGAATCATATCAGGTAGGTTTATTGTTCTCGCATCTTTTTTCAGAATCAACATACTGCGTTTTTTGTTGTGGAATGTGCTTTTGATTCAGTGAGAGGATTTTCTATTAGTAAAATGCTTTTTTTGAATCACTTAAAAGTTTTAGGACACCGCGAACAACTCGTGACTGGTTACATGCTATACGCGCTCTTTCTCCGCTATGCGCGCGTCATCCACAAATTTTTACTGTTACTATGGAACGGGTTGCGCGAAAACAGAAGGATCAGATAACTATTTTACCAATGAGTCCCGTTGATCCTTCTTACAAGCAGTGGGCTGCATGCTCACCTATTAAACAGGTATCGTTATTGTCAACTTTTATTTGTGAATAGGGTTATTTTCTAATGATATTCTTTGTCAGTATCATTTTGCGAATTGCACAGATCGGCGCATATATTTTACTCATAAAAAGCGAGAGCAAATACTGTTTTATTGATACAAAAACAGAGAATTATTCTCCTAGTCGATTTTATTCCTAAGAGCGCGTGCACTGTGACGAGGGAACCGAAATTAATTATTTATAGTCAGAGATAAGGTCGCATTTTGGATTGGAACACCTCATGAAATTGTAGAACTAAAACATAATTACAATCACATAGTTTGTGTCAGGTGTTGACGCATTTATTAAATCACACGTTGGATTTCTCATGGGAAGATTCGAATAGAGTGGTAAATCGCGCATCACTTGTACGACTGATTGCTGAATTGGCGAAGAGTTATAGTATTGTCGCAACGATAGTTGCTGAATCGCATGATCTTAATGGGCAACCTTTTATGGTTTCGCTCCTCAGCAAGTGTGTTGTGCCCAGCAGTTCTTCTGCGGCTGATGGTAATCTTTCTGTGGCTGTGAAGACTTTTGTAGCTGCAATCGCCTCATGCAGTCATTCACCAAAAGTATGTTTATTCTATTCAGCATTATATATATATATATATATATATATATATAGGTTGCATATTTGGAAATATGTATTTGGGTCTCTTTTTTGAGTATCCGATGAAATTCAGATAGTCATTAAATTATACTTTCAGGCTCAGGAGGCGTTGATCTCAAGTATTATCTCCTGTCTTCATATTGTTTTCTCTGAAGCTGATTCAAAGATAGCTTGTAGTAAGGTAAGAAATAAGTAATGCTGTATGAAAATGGTACATTAAAGTTTTTTTAGCATGATGTCGTAAATTATTATAAATTTAAAAATGCGAAAGAAGTCGTAATGTGATTACAAAAAAGAGCTTAAAGTAAAAAGTGATATGATTAAAAATGCAAGTGAAATTTTATTTTCAGCTGAGGGCATTATCAGACCTGTTTTTGTTGGCACGTGATGCATGTCCTACAGGACCACAAAATGTGCGCAGCAGCACAAATTCAAATGCAATTTTGCGCTTGATTATAAAAAAACGAGTCTGTATCGAACTGAGTAGAGTGCCGTGGTATTTGAATTTGTCAGCGAAAGAAGGTATTGAGACATTGAACTACATTTTGCGAGTTTTGGAAGAGTTGACGCGTACAATCAACAGGTTCTTTTTAAATCTTGCAGCTAATTTTCCTTTACTCTAAGAAGTATTTGCTATGCACTGCTGTTTTTTTTGGAAGATATTTATCTGTTCTTCGATAAATAAAGGGGTTCGCTTCATTGGGGTTCTTACGTCTACCTTCCTAGTCCTTTGTGCCTATTGAAAAAATTTTTCATTACAGTAGCTATGCTGCACAGAATCCAATAGGAGAAAATCCATCAGAAGCGCTGTCAACGGCTCAGAATGCATCAGCATCTGTGACACTAGTTGCGACATCAGAAAACGATGCATCAGCTACAGTAACAGCAAGAGAGGGTGAACATTCTCAGGATGATCAACATGTCGAAGACAGCTGTAGTACTGCCGATGAACATCGTTTTGAAACCCATGAGGTACTTACTAGTTTTATGATTGATATTTTTATTTTCTGAAAGAAATCTGTCGTGCTCTTAGTTCTTTCTCCTTTGACAGTGCTCTCTGACCAATTAGTGAGTGTACTGTGATTGGGTTTACTACAGTGAGATATTTCTAATAAAAGTTCATTGTAGTAGCTATAAGACTAGTTTATGCTTCCTTATGTTTCCGATTATTTTTTCCAATAATAGCTTAAATAGGAAGTAAGGAATTTTTGGAAAATGTTCATTAGTGCTGTCAAATGAATGTATGATGTCTGGATTAGTTCCAGGTAACGGTTGAACGAAATAGACCGGATGATGATGATTACTGTGCAGACGATGATGAGGATCGTAGTCGTGCTAGACATCCGGATGCTGCTGAAGATTCAAGTGAAAGTGAAGATGAAGACGATGCAGATGACGATGACGATGTAATTACACTTTGTTCTATTAAATATTTTTTAAATGTAAAAATTTGTAATTTGTGAAAATTGAGTGAATAGAAATTTACATTTCGACCCAAGTTCTGTATGTAATAAGTATAATTTGGCGTACAAGTTTGTCTAGGCTATGTTTTTCTAGGATGAAGGTGCTGCTCTTAATGAAATGGACGTAGACGATGAATCGGATGATGAGCATGATGATGTAATGGAAGGTTCGTTATCTTTATCATATATGACTTAGGAATTGATTTTACACTTCCTTAATGTAAATGGGTCCACACACGGTAGTGATAACACACATTTCTGTCATAGTTTTTCCTATTTCCATTACAATTTGATAGGAATCTGTGAACAAAGTCATTGCGGAAAATGTACTAAACTCAAAGAAAGAATTGCAATTAAATGTTTTGATTGTTATATCTATTAAAATGTAAGATTTTTCAATTTTAGAAGAAGGACGCGTGAGCGTCGAAGAAGAAGACGATTTTGGAATGGTGGAAATGGAACCGGCAGCACTAAGTCGTTTTGCCTTAGTAGATAGTGTAGATGATTCTGGACCTGCAGATAGATTTGAAGATGGCGATTCTGACGAAAATTTTGTCAACGCAAATATATTTGTTGAAAATTTGGATGATATCGATGCTCTTACAAATGGTGCTTTCACGGGTGCCCGTCTTTTTGTAAATACTAGTAAGGATTTTCTTTACAGATCCTACGAAAATTTTCAGCGAATAAATTCATTCTAAAACAAAGTATTCAGGTTTGGAAGCTGCACATGCAGATAGATCATCGGTTGCAGTCACTTCGGTGCATCCCTTATTGCAGCGGTCATCACAAACCAGTGGCAGTGATAGCGTCATAGGTCAAAGACCTACGGTAACTTTATATTTATGAAAGAACTATAAAAACCTTTTATACGAGATTTTTGACACTGCTATTTGTGTAGAGGAAACGAGCTATTATATCAAAACCGGAATATGCATTTAAAAATTCACAAAAGAATTCTTATCAGAGTTATCGCCTTTTGGTTGGTCAGCGTCGTGGAGCTGGAAATCTGAATTCAACAGGCTTGCATCGCCAGAATGCAGTACGACGTTGGACAACATTCGGCACACAAAGTGAATTTATTGAACGACTCTTTGATGGTTCCGCCACAGCTAATGGCACTCATCTTTTCGACGTCACTCCGGCACGTCAACGCTTCTTGAATGTCGTTGTAAGCTACTTTAATCCTATTTATGATATAATGTATAATCTTTTGAAAAAAATTCATTCATTTATGGTGTAGTATAAAATAACATTTATGTTACTTTGTGGAAATTCTGGAACTTTAATTACTATTGAGAGAATGGGAACTATATTGGCGTAATTGGAATAATCCCTCATATACTAAATTTTTAGCTTTTTTTCAGATGCAAGACCATGGATTGGATAATGCAACTGCAGTTACTGCTGAAGAGCGACGACAGACATCCGTTCCACTTCCACTGGAACGATTTTCAGATGCTGCAAGATTGATTGATGGTCATGCTCATTTGTACTTGTGGGTTATAGTCGCATCTTATATCACCGGTATTATGGATCTAATTGAGAAGGTAGTTTGTTTCATTTCATTCATTTAAGTATTACAAGACATTTTTTATGGTTTCGAAATAATGGGGCTTTTGAATTAAATAAATATACAAAGGAGTGGGAAAATTTATTATAAAGATCACAGGGTGTTTTTTCAATCTTTTTTAAAATATTTTTTGAAGAACGAAAATGAAAAAAAAGCAGAAGAAGAGATAATGAAAACGCAGAAAGATTTTACGGAGGAATCTTCGAAGAGAACTTTGGATGATACGGAATCAAATGAAAGTATTAATACGGCACGACTGTTTATTGATGAGGAAGAACATGAGGTTTGTTTTAACATTATTTATATATTTTTCATATGTTTCAGTTTTAATTGGAAAAAACTGGCAGCAGTACAAGTGGCTGTTATTAAGCTTCCGTCAAAAACTGTTACATCATGCAGTAAAAACACGAATATGATTAATATTGGCAACAGAGGGGAAGGAGAGAGTATTGTGGAAAAAAAAGAAATCTATTTGTATTATATCGCTTACCGGTTTGTGCTTTTAAAATTAAAAAAAAAGTTTTGAAAATTCAGAATGCTGGAAACGTTGATGTTAGTGTTGCTGATACACAACCAGAACATTCATCAGAATCTATCAATATAACAATCCAAGCAAATAGTGCTCCAGAGCCCATGGATCAGTCAGGTTATTTTATGCTTTAGATTTTTTTCTTGTGTGGTTATGCAGCATTCCTTTATTAAATTAGACAAACACACAGCAGTTGGGTCTGATTTACGGATATATTTCAGATGCGCTGTATTTTGATGCTTTGGAAAATTTTGAAAATCAGATTGAGCGAACCGCTGAACAGGAACAGAGACAGGAAGCTATCACTTCAGACAGAAACAGTAATATTTCAACAGAGGCGTCGATGCATACATTACCAGTTACTGTAAACGAAGCTGGAGGACAAGGTAACCGCAAAATTACTTTATTTTTTTGATCATCTCCATCTTACACGAAGGAAACACTGAAATTACTTTTGAATATGAGTCATCCAACTTATTTGAAAAAATGTGTTTGCTAAAGAAATTGAGCTAAAGAGAAAGAGGAATAGTACGTCCACATTCTTAATCTCACTTTCTTTTTGCTATTGAAGCTGTTTTAGAAAATGTGGAGCAACTAAATGCATTAGAGGCTGCGCCAGAAACTTCACACGCTAACCAAGATGATTTCAGAGAAATATTGGGAGGTAATACATTCTTCAAATTTCTAGCTTGATTTGAAATAAAGCATATGAACAACTTATCTCGTCTTTCTAGTGCAGTTAAATGATAGTACTTCATGTAACTCACTACAAAAATCCAAAAAATTTGTTCCTTTGTTTAGATATAGAAATTCCCGAAGGTGTAGATCCTGCATTTTTGGCAGCTTTACCGGAAGATATACGTATGGAAGTTATCCGAGATCACATGAGACAGCAGCGTTCACAACGTTTGATACAAAGTTCTGCAAACCTAGAGGCAGTTGGGCAGGCAAATGGTGAAAGTGGAGTGCCTGTAATTGAACCGCTTGATCAAGATTTCCTAAACGCACTTCCACCTGATCTGCAAGAAGAAATCTTAGCACAGCATGAAAGAACTGTGCGATTAGCTCAGGAAAGAACAGAAAATAACAGTGCACCGCCCGCAGGTTCCTTTTTTTCCTCTCTATGTATGTATAGTAACGGTTGTAGCTGAATCAAAGGTGGTAGATTTTAGACACTCCGGTTGGTGCAGATGATGCAGCTGCGTTAATTGAATCGCTTCCACCAACTCTGCGAGCACAAGTACTTGCTGATGCGGATGACACGGTTTTACAAGTTTTACCCCAGAATGTTGCTGCTGAAGCACGACGTTTGCGAGCATCCTACGAAGCACAAGTATGGTTTTTAAATCAGTCATCATGGAACTCTTTTGCTACTTTCTCTGGAATTTTTCAGGTTGAATATGAAAATTGTCAGATTATATCTTGTTAAAGTTATTTATATAATTTCAGCAGGTTATGCGTTTTGCCCGTATGTTAGCGCCTACACAACGATTCCGTCCTGCCAATGGTCGGTCAATTCCCGGAACAAGCGGCAACACTACTTCTGTAGGTGCACTTGCTGGAATTACTACACTTGCTTCGAAAAGTGCTACACAATTGCTAGACCGAGATGCCATTGTCACATTATTGCTTCTTTTTTTCATCGATCCAGCTCGTCTTAATACTCAACGTTTACAGGTTATCTGTTTTTGCTGTTATCTTTCTTCAGATTTTACACCATGTTACGCTAAAAAAGGTTCACAGTGATGTTCATTAGTGCTCGTTTAAGCAAGCATATTCAGCTGTTGAATTCATTTCAAGTTCATAATCGGCTTACTTGAAAAAGATTTTTAATTTATTCCAGAAGCTCATCAAAAGCCTTTGCGCACAAAATGTAACGTGTGATTTCGTAATTTGGTGCTTAATTGCTTTACTTGACAAAGTAGACGAGGACGCTGTTCAATATGAAGATTTTACGGGCACAGTGTCTGGTTGGTTGGATCAGATATGCGTGCACAGCGGTATTGGGCAACATGAACAAGCTGTCAAATTCTTCAAGAGCACTCATACAGGTGGGACTTCAAACGTGATCCCAATATGTATATAGGTTAGTTAAGATTGACGACGTGTACGCATAATGACGATGAAAACGTGGTTACGGAATAAATGATACTTATAGTGAACTTGATATGTCTGATATTGCTCAGTCCATTTGAGATTTCTGTGAAATCCTTAATGTGTTGTACTTGCAGTTGCTCTGCATCCGGCAATCTTAACAACGGTCTGTCGTCTTGTACTGGATACATTAATCAATCTTGCAAAAACTTATCCAGGTCATTTTCTTCCTGCCAAACTGCGTGCATCAGGTTCTCTTTCCAATGCTGGATTGCCACCATTCTCGCAGTTCTGGGCTATTGTCCATAGGTAAGCTATTATGATGAATGCTTTCATTTCTTTTCCTTCCAGTTATCTGTTTGTTATTCCGATTAATTCATCATTCTTATTTTACTATTGAAACTATTCCATTATTCTTCGTCGCAAAACTGTGTTCGAGAATGCATCATAATCATGCTTCTTGAATACATTTTAAATTTGGAAGTCTTACTTGAAATTGTTATTGACTCTGCTAATGTCATGTAATTAATGTAAATCACTGTGCGTTTAGGGAAATTCGTTCTTGTTAAGGCATTTTGAAGGGAATTTTTTAAATATTGTTTCAATACTTTTAGCCTATCGAAAGCAGATATCTCATCCCGTTCTACCCATCGACATAGTTCATCGCTAGAAACAGCTTTGGGACCTGGCGGAATTAATGCAAGCATGGCTGCTTCATCACTTGAAGATAGTGCTGTTGGTGTACTGATGGAGCATATTAGACGTCCAGTTATTCTCTCGTCATCTGTATTGCAGGATAAGTTACTTCGCCTTATATGTACGGTCAGTCGTTTGTTATTTTTGTTTTGGTTTTATGATCAAATAACTCAGCTTAACCAATTTCGTGAATTTTCTGGAATAGTGTAAGAACATTTTGTATCAGCATTCAATCGTTTTAGATCGTCCAGACTTTACCGGATGAAACTGTCACGAAAATGTCGATTGATTCGACAGCAGAAAAACCTCCACTTGCCCAGCAACTCGAATACATTGTTTTGGTTCGTTTTAACCTTATCTTCTTCTAGTGCCATCTTGTATAACATTCTCTGTTAACTTGAATTTTCAGGCCTTGACAGAAGGTGAATGCTCAGAAGAAGGGTTAGCGGATGGACGAACCTTACTCTTGGAATTAATTCGTGCCCTGAGTCCATCTACAAAGACTTTTGTAATGTCTCTCCTTATAAATGCCGCTGAACGCCTAGGAGCTCGACTCCTGCCACATATTGAGAGACTTGAAGAAGAACTGAAAGAATTAACCAACGAAGGAAGTCCCTCGTCATCTCTTGAGCAACAACCATCAGGTTCAAAAGTTGCGGTTAATCGGTAAGACTCATTCCTTTATAAATCAATATATCAAAAACAACTACAGTTTCTTATAGGTTCTTCCCCAGTTGAGTATCTAAAGCAGTCATGATCGGAGCCCATAATCTTTTTCAGTTGCATGTTTTGGTTCAGATATTTGTAATAAATAATATGGCAGTATTGATAACATGAATTTCGATTGTAGTTATGACGAATCAGTGATTGTGATCAGTGGAATATTGAATTCACGAGCAGTCATGAATGCATCAGGCTGTTATGAACTACAGTTACCTGCTATGAGAGCACTTACTGATAAAAATGGAGTTCAAAACGTATTTCTGAGAACCCTGCAGACAATCATCAAAATGAGAGAAGTGCTGAAATCACATGCAAGATGTATTGAGATTGACGTAAGTATTGAAACTGCAGGAGAGCAGGATAGCGAAAATGCACAGGGAGAAGATAAAAATGCAATCGAAAAATATGAAAGGAAAAAACTTGCCGAAGTGAGACTTGCTAACTTCAGTTTTATAAGTTTCTTTTGAATCCACTTCACCTGCTTGTACGCATTCTTAGTACTAGACCTTTATACATTCCATTTTTGTTTTTGCTTTCATATTCGAATAAAATCTGCTATGACTGACTGTATCTATATCCAATATTTTAGAAAGAAGAAAACATGAGCATATTATTAAATACGTTAGAACCGTTATGGGAACTTGTATCGAGATGTCTGAAACGTCTTACAAATGCAGATGCACATGCAGCATTAGCTCTTCAACCAAGTGCTGAAGCTTTTTTTCTGGTATATGGATCGGAATTGTCGTCTATTGATCCAAGCAAACTACATGAGCATCCAGATGCTCAAAAACTTCTTCATTTCGCTGGTGTGTTACAATTATGCTTACATCTACATATCTATCTGAAGGGTTCAAATTCTAGGATTTCGCATATATCATTTTTTTTCTGAATACATACTCATTACTGGTTTCACCTTTATGCTTTCATTTTCAAAGAGGAATTGTGAAGTGAATTTTATTGATGTTCACAAGACATCAGCTAATAGTTGCTCGATTTTGCTTCCCGTCTTTATTATTGTTACAGAAAGCGGTATTCACTGTGAATTATTTTCAGAGAAGCACCGGAATATGTTGAATCAGGTTCTGAGACAGAGTGGTGGTAGTTTAACGGATGGCCCCTTCGCAGTACTGATTCAGATGCCAAAATTGTTAGACTTTGATGTCAAACGTATCTACTTTCGGAAACAGATGCAGAAAATCGATGAACGTGTTAGGTTTGCGTTTCAGTTCATTAACATCCATTTTCATTCGCTAGCGTATGCGTGACATTAATATTACTCTCCGATTCGAGATTTTATTGCTCGTGTTTGTTATAGAGGTGAAGACGTAGCAGTGCGGATTCGTCGCAGTCACTTATTCAGTGATAGTTTCCGGGAATTATTCAGACTGCGTGGTCCGGAATGGAAAGCGAGATTTTACATCATTTTCGAAGGTGAAGAAGGGCAAGATGCTGGCGGATTATTACGTGAATGGTTTTCAATTATTACACGGGAAATTTTCAATCCAAACTATGCACTCTTTATAACTTCTCCAGGCGATCGAGTGACATATATGATCAATAAAACTTCATACATTAATCCGGAACATTTGGAATATTTTAAGGTTTTTCATTTTTATATGATTAAAGCTTAAATTCGATCATAGGGAAAACATTTTCTGAAAAATCTTGTGCTCTTCATTTACTCAATATCTCTAGAATCTCATTGGTATGAAAATCTTACAGTAATCCTTCTTTTCAGTTTGTTGGAAGAATAATAGCAAAGGCAATATATGAGAATAAATTGCTGGAATGTTATTTTACTCGAGCATTTTACAAACACATTTTAAGTGTTCCTGTTCGAGCACAGGATTTAGAATCAGAGGTATTGTTGCCTTTTTCTGTTGAACAAGAGACGAAACGAGAGCTAGACAGTCTGTTAGAGGTTAGGTGGGTGATGGTGGTTGAAAGCTGGATAATAGAAAGGTGAAGGAAGTAACCTAGTGTAACTTTGGAAAGTCTGTTAATCTAAAATGTCATTCAGTCATGACCTTTTAGACTAACAGATTTTCCAAAACTTTTTTTCCTTACCAATAAGTGTACATTTCAGGATCCCAGTTTCTATAAATCATTGGAATTTTTGCTCAATAATCCGATAGAAGATCTTGGCACTGAACTTACATTTAGTTTGGAAGTTGAAGAATTTGGAGTTAGAAAAATGCGCATGCTTAAAGAAAATGGATCGTCTATTCCAGTTACTGATGAAAATAAGGAAGAATATGTGAAGCTCGTTTGTCAAATGAAAATGACAGGTTCATTTTGTTTTCACTGACTTTTCTTTTATTATTTTTTAGTGCTGACATTTCAGGATTATTGGCAGCAAATATAAATAATGCAAGTAAATAAAAAACACTGAACAGTTTGTTGTAATATGATGGATGTCGGTTATTTCTTTGTAGGCTCCATTAATCAGCAGTTGAACGCATTTTTGGAGGGCTTTTACGAAATAATTCCGAAACAGCTGATATCAATTTTCAATGAGCAAGAATTAGAATTGTTGATAAGTGGGCTTCCAAATGTTGACATTGATGATCTCTATGCCAATACAGAATACAAGACGTACACTAGATCCTCATCTCAGGTAACCCATTTCTTATTCTTTCGAATTCTCGAATTTCTAGTGAGAGAAGTAAGCGGTTGAAGGATATAAAAATTAGTGCTGTGCTGTTGTCAGCACATGAGATCAAGGATCACGAAAGACAACTGAGATCTGGTAAAGGCTGAAAAGTGTATTTGACTAGAGTTACCAAAATGTTTATAACTCGTTTTTAATTTGATCTCCTTGTTATCATGTATCAATTTGTCATTGCAGATACAATGGTTCTGGAAAGCATTACGTTCGTTTGAACAGGAAGATCGCGCAAAGTTTTTACAATTCGTTACTGGTACAAGTAAAGTTCCCCTGCAAGGTTTTGCCGCACTTGAGGGTATGAATGGCACGCAGAAATTTTCCATTCATTTGGATTCGCGATCTTCAGATCGACTGCCAACAGCACATACATGGTATTTGTATTTCTTTTAAACAGTTGAAGCATTTTTGTGAATTTTCAGTATCTTGTCATTTAATCATATTAAATCATTGTTGCAGTTTCAATCAATTAGACCTACCACAATATGAAACATATGACAAACTTCGGGATATGCTGTCATTAGCTGTACGTGAATGTACCGAAGGATTTGGATTTGCTTAAAAGGATAACTGATTATGTTTATTAATGATGTGTACCTTCCTCACTGTACTGATGTCTTTCTATTATGGTGACTCTTATCTGAACTGACAACCCATAAATACTTTAAAATGATTTTTTTTCGAAGTCATTTTATTAATTTTCTTCGTTTCTTTTTTAAAGTCCAAATATATGGAATGATAGAATTTATTATCATGAAGACACTAATTGTAGTATCAGACAGTATCTTTATGTCCGCTGTCTTTGATTTCAGCCAAACTGTTGTTGTCTGAAATAGCACGATCTTTCTGCACATTTTTTCTAGGTCGGCCTTTCCGCCATTATGCAGATTTTCGCAAGTTTTAATTTTTTGATTGTATGGCACCGTACAAGAAATTTCACTGTAATCTAGTTTGTATCCTTGCGTGCGTATGTATGAATTCCGGACTGTATATACCTCGTTTAGAGTGGTGGTGAAAAGAGCCTGATGTTGGTGCCTTTTTTTTAAAAAAAATACCACTCTGAACGTTGTGCATAATTGAATGTATGTTCTTTTTAATTCATTCATGTTGTTTATTTGCTATGAATGCAGGCAAAGTAATGCTACAGCTGATGAATCTCTGGAGGTGTTTTCAGGCAGCATTACCGATGTGAATCTTTAACCAGGAGGATAATTTTGAACTGATTAAATATTTTTTTCCAAACGTATGCCTTGGTGTTTATATTTGCTCTTAACAATTCTTGCGTATTGCATTTTTGAAAAAAAAACTGTATTTCGCGTAGATTTTAAAAGTAAAAGAATTGTTGAATTCTAATTATATTCATCCTAGACAATTGCAAGTTAACGGATTTCTTATCCTACTGCACTTCATTACTCTTAACTACTTAAGGGTCTTGCGACACTATGTCATTTTTGCTCCAATAATTCGTTTCGGTAAACTGGAGTTGTGTATGGATTGTGGGAGTGAATATTAAGGGTCATAAATTTCGTTCGCTTCTGATCTGTTCAGTTTGGGATATTGAAGAATAGCGATATTTTAGAGCATTATGTCCGTTGAAAAATTATACACTGGTCAAGTGAGTGCCATAAAAAGTTTTGCGCGAAACATTTCCGGATAGCTGTTCTCTTACATTGTAACTCACTAATCTTGCCTTGATTAGTTAAATAAACAGTAGAAGCATTGGCATTTCCTCTGCCCACTCAATAATGATAAACCTACGATCACTGGAATGGTGGTTTATCCTTGGATTTCCTTTACAAGGGTTCATCTATTCAATTGGTAGATTAGTGAAACATGTGAAAGTGGAAACTTTTAGATATAATTATGCTGTTGCACAATGGCTTCAATGCTGTTGAACGGGTTATCCAGCGTCCGTGCATAATTTTTTTGCGACGTTGTCTTATTCCAATTCCAACGGTTATCAAAAGAAACATGAAGTCAGTGAGCAATAAAGAAACAATGGAACAGAACAAGTCAATTTTAGAAAAAGTTATGATAAAAGATTCTCAAACTACAGCGCAGAAAGGTATTTTCTATATGAATTCTGATTGGACACTAATAGTGTCACTAAAATTCGATTAGTGTAGGGGTCTTCGATTATACACGTTAACCTGAAGATGACACATTTTCTGTCGTTAAGGGAACTATTCTGGCTGGCCAGTGATCATTAATTAGCTTAATTTACTTATCCATGTTCATAATATTTGTTTAAAATTGTAGTGAATATGTCTTGCTTCAATACACTATTTAGATATTGAAATTCTTGAATTACGGTGAGATATCCCGATCGAATTTTAAATATGGATAGGGTTTCATCAATTTTTTCATGATTTTTATAGTTAAAAAATAAGCCAAAGTTTATAAATAGAACCATACGATTGTCTTTGAATTTCAGTGAAGGAAAAAGCAACCAATGCGTATCTGTACATGGCATATGTAGTGTCAATGATTGTTATGGGAGGTATGGCATATTTATTGTATGAGGAAATGCTCGCACCTGGAGCACCGCAAACAGTGTTTTCAAAGGCATTATCCTTAATCAAAAAAGATCCGGATTGTCTTAAATTACTAGGTGATTCAATTGTGGGATATGTGAAAGGACCTGGACGAATGAAACAAGTTGCGCATCACATTTATAAAAAAGTAAGATTTTTTTGCATTAAAAAAATTTGAATCATGAAGTTGTTTTCAATTCTATTTACTTACACCTGATGTTTTCGTGCCTATTTCTCCATGTGATTAAAAATTAACTTATTGTAGGACGGAAATGATAGGACGCGTGTGATGTTTAACGTGAAAGGTACTCGACGTGAAGGTATTGTAACCTGCGAAATGGAAAAGAGTAATGGAATCTGGGAATGGCGCTTTATTATCGTTTCATCTGCTGATCTTGTTCCAGAATCTGTTATTCTAATAGATAATCGTTGAAAACCATCTCACCTTAGCCAGCATTTTGATCCAATGGTTTACTCTATCTATCACTGAGGGACTTGATTTTTCTACACATCATGCACTATGAAAATTTGCGGTAATCAGTCGTGCCAAATAGCAGACAGACGGAGTTCAGAACAAAAAACTTGGGAGTGTCGAAATGCCGCTCTGTTCAGTTCAAAGAATCAGGTGATCTCAACTAGAGAAATATACAACATACTGAATTCCATAAAATGAAACAAGCAAAAACACTGCCTCCTAAAATTTATGGAATGAGAATCATATTCACAATAACTACGACAATAAGACTGTTACCAGATGGCTACACAATTTTCCTTCTGTTTTTTTCAATTTAATTGTTAATGAATTGCAATCATAAATTCTTGGATACTGCAAATTAAATTCCAATTTCCGGCTCTAATAAAAGACTCCAAATCTAGATTTAGTAGCAGATTAGTGAAAGATATATGCATTAGTATTAATGGTAACAATGCTACATCTCTTAAAACCTTACATGAAAGAGACAAAATACTTGCATTAAATTAGTTGTCCTGAAATGATGCAGTAGTATAGTAGACCATGTAAAACAGGAAAGCGTGTTAACCCACACCGCGTCCTTTTCAAGATCATTTGAAACACTTTCTATAGAAATGACAAGAGAACACGCAAAAGAATTACCAAAAAATATACAGAGATGCAATAGAAATGAAATAAAAAACCTTGTCAGTAACATACTGATGACAAGATTATTATTACTGCATTGTGTACTACGACAGCGGCAACAACCAACGATGTTAAACCATGTAAGGCTGATTTTTCTTTCTAGAAACTGATCTGTACTTCCGGACGGACAACAATATCCTAAGCACGATTACTCACGCAATCCCAATCGAGTATTAATGCTCTCCAAATATGCACGATGTAGGCGTGTTACAAAGCCATCGTCCTGAAAAGACGACTTTTATAACTTCTAAATATTTGATAATATTAACAACTATCCGACACTTCTGCATATATAATAATCAAGTATAAATCCAATGGAATATCCACAACATCATTCGGTAGCTAATCACTCTTCGCGGCGTCATGTTGTAACTTCTACCCCATGGTGAAACAAAACTTAAAGAAACATAAACTGGCGAAATCCATAAGTAACGAAACAAACCTTCAATAAATGTTTCAGTGCCACGAGCAACTGATCTTTCGTAAGAGAAATAACTTGAGAATCATCCTCAGATATGCCATCGTGCTTATTTTTGCTTTTCGATAGATTCTAAAGAAAAATTAAGACTTCTTCAAAATGATACTAAATTATTAAAAATAATGTCCTCAAATTGATAGCTGATTTGTACCTTCTCCATGTCCTTTAAACCAGATGTCTTGGCAGTACAGAGAGATAGATTATTCACTAAATTCGATAATGCGTCATTTTCTTCGTTCTCTTGGGATGCTAGTTCGCGCTTCCTAAACAATGTTCCAATTCCAGAAAGTGTGGAATTTAAGTTTATAAATACAAAACTATCCCATAAGCTATTTCTTCTGAATGTCTAACTTGCCATCATCAGCATAAAAAAAAACTTTTTTCCTAACAATAATAGCACATAGAAACTAAGAATCCGTCATGAAATAAGGCTTATTACTTCGAACATCTTACATCAGCAATAATATGCAAATCAAAAAATTACATCATTTTCACACTTGATTTATTTTCTGTCGACATCGCAGCACCTTCACCTTGAGCACCGCAGAGAAGATGTTTTTCAATTTGATCTGCACTCAAAGCACCTCTAATCGGCACATCCGGTAATTTAGTGGTTGTCTGCTTCGAAAGCAACTGTTGCAGCAAAGCCGGCATTTCATCCAATTTTTTACAGCGACTGTCTTCAATAAAACGAGTAAAACAAGGAAGCAAAAACAAATTTGTTGAATTGTCCCCCAAACTAAAATGAAAAAAAGCCGAATTATTATCAGGAGCTCTAAGATGAAATCTTACTGTCCTGCGCCATTGAAATCAGATTTACGGTGAAAAGAGGGCACCCTACCAAGCAATTATTACTGATCCACAATATTTTATCTTCAGTCTTTTGCCTGTAGTCTGATCTCTGAAATGAACAGTGAACGAACTGGATAGCACTAGGTCTTTTGAAACGTACTACTAGTCCAAGAACATGTTATAAAGACTAATGTTACGTAACAAATAGCGCTTATATATATAATTAATGCCATTCAGATCAACAATTTCATCACAGAACTATTATTTTAAATTAATCGAAAGATTTACAAAAAACATAAAGCAAATGCAATTTAATTAGCTTTACCTCTTCCTGCAGTACCACCTGAGTGCTCGCCATATCCATTTTGCGATTTACTTGACACTGGTCTTTTTGAATGATTGACAGTGACAGATGTCGACGGACTTGAGTCAGAAACAAGCTTGACAAGCAATTTATACAAACGCGTACAATCCACTTCTTTAAAGAACCAGAAACCCCTTATCTCACCTTCTATAAACAAACACTATGTCAAAAAAATTGAGATGTAAAGCAAAACTAATAAATATACGATGCCACCGACAATTCTGTGATATTCAATGCATTGAATGGCGAAGAACAGTGAGATACATAAATAACTAACGCAAACATACCTTGATTATTCATAAACAAATAAGGAGCTTCAAGAAAAAATCGCAATCGAGATGTGATTGGTTCGATATGATCCTCGAGAGATTGACGATTTGCAATCATTAATGAATAAAAAGGCTTATCAGCTCGTTTGTACAGAAATAACGGACCTTCAATCGCGGACTTCACCCACTGCGTGTTAGATTTATCAAACTGGTAGAGCGCCGCATGCACAGCCTATAAAATCATTATTTGAATTTCTTTCTTCATTAGAACAAATAGCAAACAGAAGCAGAGCCGACAATGCCCCTCCGCTTTTTGGTGTTTACAAGTCTAGGTCGACTTCGTTCTTCCCTCCCGTCGTCTATAAGCTAGGTAAAATACGAATTTGTAGTTCCTGGTAGTCTATTTCTAAAAGAATTTGTTGCAATTCGATTCAGTTTTAGCAAAATTCCACTAAAATCAGAGCAAACAAAAGGTTAGTAACATTTATAGATTTGTGAACCAGATGCAAAACTAGGATGATCAAGATTCAAACAAATATGGGAAGGAAAAAATATGAATAACCTTATCAATGATTGCTACCGCACACGGATCCAGTCGTTGTATAGATTTAAGATTCATTTCATCGATTGAAACAGGTTTCTTTTTGACAAGCATAGTGTCACCCATATTTTCCTGAACCAGCATAAAGCGATCAACACCCGTTATGAGGTAGTTGGAACTATCGGTCCTTAACCGAGTCTTTTCCTGCCTCTGGAATCTCTAATAACAATTCATCCGTTTTAATTTTAGAAAACAAACAGAACTCTAAAGACTTGCTTGCTAACATACTAACTGAATTCTCGTGTTAATCTTACTCCCGACTAACTGTACTACTCGTAACGGATACTGTTATATTAACATTCTACACCATATAATTCGCAATATTTTATAAGCAATCGCATAAGAACATGATAATCCCAAAAATTAGTAGAAAACGATTAAAAAACCAGTATCTAAAACTTACCTATGATATGAATAAGGAGATAATCTTTTTATAGACACGAAATTCCAGAACTTAGGATAGAACTCCGGTAAGCAATAAGCCTAAAATGAAAAATCAACATAATCTGCACTGAATTACTGCACCGCAAGTAAAGGTAATCACAGAAATTGTAAACCACAGCTGCTTCATCAATCCATGTAACATCACGTAACAGTGTGCAGACTTACTAAAATCTAGCTTATAAACAGTCCATGATGTCAGCAATTATAACATTTCATGTATTTCATTTGTTAGTCAGAATAATAAATAAGGAAAAAAAATTCTGAGATATAACATTTTCAGAAAAATACAGACAATCGTGCAAATATCCTGGAAGACATCGCGGAGATCTTGAGTATAAAAATCTATTTTTATTATTTTTGCATCTCAAGTTGAATCTAAAAGTCTTGGTAACATTCTCAATGGGATATATTTTTAGATCTGAAAAAATTATAATCCCTCACTATTCACAGATCATAGGAATGACCTACAAATGAAGTTGAAGATCATCTACAGATTTCAAGATTTCATACATTTCCTCTCAGCCTTCTAACATCCATCTCGTTTCAGTTGCACTTCATTGAAAGAGGAAAGACCTGAGACCTCACCTTATATAAAACAAATCACTTGCCAATAACTCAACCCCATACCGATCACAAAACAACATCCCGTTAACTACTCACCGATAATCCGAATAACCAAACACTAATAATCAAATTGTAGCTGAGTTAAATATAACATCTATGCTATCATGATCAGACCTAGCATGAAATCAGCTAGTCCCAGCAATATAATAAGATACATGATGTAGTGGGCGAGTGTAATTGTAAAATTTCACTTCAAGATCTGTTTCCTATTCCATTATTAAATCCATGAATGTAATTTCTTTCATTTCAGTCAACATAATTCCCGCTTTGACTTGCTTAAAACTTGAATGAAACTGATTTTGATAGCTTATGGTGATATGAAGATTGTCAACATTCGATAATATACACGTTCATAACGTAGCAATGAGTTAATTCCAAATGAGTTAATTCAGCAGTTGTTCAGGATTTACCGTATCCACTTCAATGCAATAACACATATCAGAAATGACCACAGGACATTCTGCAGACAACTGTTCCCGCCCAATTTATGCAATTAAGGGGGGAATTGAGCTATTTGAATTCCATGTAGCCAATATGCTCTTCATTCTATCTTCATTGTTAAAATTGTGAATTATTTTATTTTTCAATAAATTTTCAAGAATATCAAGAGGATCATTGTATTTATTTTGTGAATTGTTTATGTGTGATTTGCTTGCTAGAAGAGAAACAGATTGAGAATATCATGATTATTCCTTATCTCTTATAAAATACTTATAAAATTGATAAATTAAACCAATCAGATGTTATTCGATTTCATAACCATCATTGTGCCTGATGTTTAATAGTTATATTTGTATAGCAAATTGAGATGGAAGGAATTTCTATTTTTAGAAGTTTATAGGAAAGTTAAAACGGAGGAAACGTCGGATTCGAGAAACACTGAGGTGTTACCTTATAACATCCAAAATCAACCGAATGCAGTAGACAACAACATTGTTGATAATGGTAATGTAGCGACGGAAAGAACGACTAAGCCACATTTAATAAAGTCGAATTCAACCGCTACCAACGGGAACCTTTTGAAGAACAACAAGTAAGTTTATTAAAATTGCGAACACTTGAACAAGTAATGATAAAAGCAGAGAAAATGGCATAGATTTTGTTGTGTTAACATTTGTATTCTACTGTGTGCTGTGTCCTTCTTGTGTTGCAGATAGTGACTTCGATTGGTATATTAGTTTATGAGCGGTTGTTCTGTCTTTCTTTCTATTTTATTGAATAGTCCCTATTCTTATCCGATTAATTGAGCTACGTGAATTTATAACCATTTTAGTGGACAACCATTTCAGGGCATCAATTTTAATATTATTTGTGATTTAAACTGGCTTATAATATCTGTACTTATAATCAATTTATTATATGTACTGCTTAGATTTTTCGTTTTTACATTCGATTTTGATATGCTTTGTAACTGCCTTTTCAGGGTATTCATGGAGTCGCTTATTCCTGTCATTAACAAATTACAAGAGGTTTTTTCCGCAGTTGGCACGCGTGAGGCAGAAATACAACTGCCGCAAATTGTCGTCGTTGGCTCACAGGTTTAGTATCTCAAACCACTGACTACCACTACTTGCTTTTCAACTTTTTTAACTTTTATTGTTGCACTTAGATTTGTTGCACTTAGATTTGCACTGCTTGTTCTTTGCAGAGTGCAGGTAAGAGTTCTGTCTTAGAAGGTATCGTTGGTCGGGATTTTCTACCACGTGGAGCTGGTATTATTACCAGACGACCATTGATTCTGCATCTAGTCAATGTACCTATTGATGACAGAGAAGCTAGAATTACTGATGAAGGTATGCTTTTGACTTTTCCAAGTGTGCTTAATTTATTATAACTTCGGTTATAATTCGTGTTTCATTTGTCCTTCCATAAGTCAAAAGGAACGGCATCAGGTAGAACGATAAATGCAACTGAATGGGCTACGTTTGGTCACGTACAAGAGGTGGTCTTCACAGATTTCAATGACGTGATGCAAGAAATCGAACGTGAAACGGACAGAATCACGGGAAAGAATAAAGTAAATAAATTTTTAATTTGGACTCTAAGTAGTCATTGTCGATATAATTTCTTATGTGTATACAACTTTATAGATTTTTTTTTTAGGGAATATCTGGGTTGCCAATCAGTCTTAAAATTTTTTCACCCAATGTAGTAAATTTAACGCTCATAGATTTACCCGGATTGACGAAAGTGCCAGTGGGTGATCAGCCCACTGATATTGAAGTGCGGATAAGTCATATTTATTTTTTTATCTTAAAGCAACTAAATGAAGTGTTAATGAAGTTTTAAGTCTCACTTTTCTATTCATCTTTTCGCTTGATATTTTCCATGATCACAAAGCCAGTATAGCAATCATCTATAATATTATCTCCGAGCAGATAAAAGTCATTTAACTATGAAGTCTTAAATTTGGCTTTTATTAGTGATTAATTTGATCAGGATAACTGTATGTTTTCAGGTTCAAGTTCGGGACTTAATTATGAGTTATATAGGAAATCCAAATTCCATTATTCTTGCTATAACGCCAGCAAACCAAGATTTTGCCACTTCAGAACCATTGAAATTAGCAAGAGAGGTCGATCCTGAAGGTAACTGTTTGTTTTGCTTAATCACTGTTATTAGAGCCACATTTTTTTGCACTGCTAAAGAATCCAATGACTACTTATAATCTTTTTGTTTTTAGCAACTGAGTTGAATTGTAGGTTGTCGAACGCTAGCTGTACTCACTAAACTTGACCTGATGGATCATGGTACAGATGCCATGGAAGTTCTTCTCGGACGTATTGTTCCAGTGAAGCTTGGCATTATAGGAGTTGTGAACAGGTTGCTGATTTTCTGTTCTTTATAATTCTGTTATGTTTTCATACCTATAATATGATGATTGCATATGAGAAAAAAGAATAATATACTTTAGATCCCAAGCAGATATCATGAACAAAAAGCCGATCGATGATTGTTTACGTGATGAGCAGTCGTTTTTGCAACGAAAGTATCCTACATTAGCAAGCAGAAATGGAATTCCGTATCTGTCGAAAACATTAAATAGAGTATATATTAAATCTTCGTATAATATTAGTTTGTAGTAATATTTTGTCGAAGTTAAGGACTATGATGATATGCATTGTAGATAATAGTTGAAAGCTTTTGTTTGAGTTTAAGAGGAAGTTTTTTGTAGACCATTATGTTCGTTTCATTTATAAGGTTGTAATTTTTTTTATTTTGATATTTTAGTTTTGGGAGTTAATTATATTTTTTGAGGAAATTCTCTTTGTTTTCTTTTTTTATCTTTATTGCGTTCGTTTGAATACGAAAGATTAGAGTTTAATCTATTTTTTTTTAATCTGGTAATTATTAGTGACTGCTGTTACGAAGAGTATTTTTCCTCAATCAGGCATTTTGAGTAAGAGGAAACATACGATTTTTGCAGCGTTTTTTGATTTGACTTGTCTAATTTCGTAATTAGAGAGTGCTTGCGTAATTTTTATCTCCTTTGAGTGATAGAAATATCGCTCAGTCTATAAATTAGAGATGTTTTCATTTACTTTATGTGCTGTAAATTTTTCAATATTATTAAGAAAATATTCGTAGTTTGTTGTAAAATGATTTTTTTTTCAGTTATTAATGCATCATATACGAGAATGTCTTCCACAATTGAAAATGCGAGTAAATGTGCTGATGTCGCAATGCCAAACACTGCTAAACTCATATGGAGAGCCTGTGCAAGATTATGGAAGTACATTACTACAAATTATAACTCGTTTTGCAACTGCGTATACCACAACCATTGAAGGTACATCAAGAAATATCGAAACTTCGGAGCTGTTAGTTTTTCATTTTGCCTTTTGCTTGTGTATTCAATAAAATATATAACATATAATTGTTGGAGTCTTTGCAGTGTTGTTTTTTTTTTTTAATTTTTAAATTGCAGTTGTGGTGGAGCTCGTATATGTTACATCTTCCATGAAACATTTGGGCGAGTTCTAGAATCGATTGATCCGTTGGGTGATTTAACACAGCTCGATATACTGACAGCAATACGTAATGCAACGGTGAAATCTTAAATCTTTTTGGAGGGAAGAAAATAAAAACTAACTTGGTTTGCTTTCTTGAATTTAAAGTCATCTTCCACTGTAACTAATGTTATAGGGTCCTCGACCGGCTCTTTTTGTACCCGAAGTAAGCTTTGAATTATTGGTAAAAAAGCAAATTCGCCGTCTAGAGGAGCCCAGTTTGCGTTGTGTAGAACTTGTGCATGAAGAATTACAACGAATTGTGCAACATTGTGGTATTCATACGCAGGTTTGTGTTTTTTTTTTATCTTCTTTACCTTTTTTAAGCTTTAGTCGAACATAAAATCAAGGAAAAAGTTGAATTCCTTCTTTTAATCTATTTTAAAGTTATGTTCAAAATTTCTTTCTCTCTTAGTAATGACCATCTTCCATTCCGGAGACATATTACGGCTGATAGCGGTTGCAGTTTGGCAATGTTTGGGTGCGGCTGGATACATCTCTAATAAACTCCAAAATGTATAATAGTCTGATTTAACTCAGGTCTTCTAGATAGGCTTTAGCAATATGTGGTTCTTTCAGAAAAAAGTTAAATAACTATATTTGGCTTTTATTATATCATCACCGATAAATATTTTGCATAGGCTGCGACAGCCTTGGATGGTCGTTCTAAACTATTTATAAAATAAGAATTTATATCCAACGATTACTATTATTTTTCACATTTAATATTTTCAGCAGGAAATGCAACGTTTTCCTCGCTTGTACGACAAAATAAGTGAAGTTGTAAGCAATGTTCTGAAAAGCCGATTAAAGCCAACGAATGAAATTGTTGAAAATTTGGTAGCAATTGAACTTGCATATATTAATACGAAACATCCGGAATTTGCCGATGCTTCACTTGGCAATCTTTTAAAGGTTTAGATTTTTAAACTTTCAGGCGTTTGTAAGGAAATAGTTCTATCTTTATCAGATTTCTTTATAATTTAGTACATCATGAGTGGATATGTTTAAAAAGACATCGAAAGTACAAGGATGTCTATGTACAAACATTAAAAGTATTTCATTTACAGTATTACTTTGTTTGAAGATTATTTCATATAGGTTAAATTCTTTGTAATGATGTCTTTTCAATTGTCCTTTCTGAATGTGTAATGAAGTTGAAGATATAGTTGAACTATATTATTTGTCGATCTTATTAACAAAGATTTGTCTAACTGAGGTAATTCAGGAACACGCATCTGTTGACGATGATTCGAAACGGAATGTGAAATACGTTCCTCAAACTGAAACATCAATGCCTAAAGTGCACGAGAGTTCCTTGGTAAATATTTTAATTTTGTATAAAATTATAGATCTTTCACTCTACAGTCCCTTCCAACTTTTATTTCTACTATTTTAGACTGTGGATGCGTCGTCTTCAGCTGAAGATTCAGTCGGCACACAGGCAAGAATTGCTTAAGCTGTAGATTAACTGTTTTTTCTTTAAGACAAATGGGAATAATTAGAATGTGTGATATTCTTACCTTTTTGTTATCCTAAGTGATTTCCTGCCATATTTCACTAATTAGTATCGTATAACAAAAAAATGAACAAGAAACGTTTAAACTCTGCTGAAAAAGAATTGACCCTGCAGAAGAAAAAGTGTTCGTAGGGCTTTTGAACCTTGCTATTGCATAAGTTGAACGCAGTATTTACTCCTTTGCTACTTTAGGTAGCTTAATATACTTTGAATGTTGTAGAATCCGACAAGCTTCACCGGATGGTTCTTCGGTGGAAATACGAAAGACAAGGAGTTAGTATCAACGCGTTAGTTTCTAAAAGTTTTCAGAACTGCTGATTGTATCCTTTATTTTGAAATGCACAACTTTCTAGGATGCACAGTTTTCAATGACTTTAGATGCTCTTTCAAGACGCATGCTGCTTTATATGGCTTCTGCTGTCATCACAGATATAAAAGAAAAAACTTGCAAATTACTAGGCGTATGTGCCTCAGACTACAGCATTTTTTCAAGAGGTTAACACTGCTGTTAGATCACTAATAATATCGCTACACAACATTAGGATTGTTATTTCAGCTACATCAGTTCGCAAACCTGTGAGTTTTTTGCCAGAAGTGCCAGAAAAAACAATCACACGAAAATTGACTGCTCGTGAGCAGAAAGATTGCCAAATAATCGGTAAGTTGCTTACTTCATCTGTCACAGAATTTACTAATTTAACCATTGCATGGCCGAACCAAACATGTACTCATATCATCATCAGATAATTACTAGATCATTTTGGTAATTTTAGGCAGGTCATTTATAGTTATAACAGATGTGCAGTTAACTTCACCAATTTCTGAATATGTACCATTTTTTCTGTATATCTGCACTTAGTTTCCGAATTAATTAGTTCGGCTTTTCATGCATTCTTTTCTTTCACGGTCTAATAAATACTTGCTAACTTCTGATCAATATTAGTGTTTTGCAAAAAATAGTTGCACATTTTTGCAGAGCGACTCATTCGATGTTATTTCATGATTGTCAGAAAAAATGTTCAGGACACAGTACCCAAAGCTATTATGCATTTCCTAGTGAATTATGTTCGCGTACGTTGGATTTCTTTTCCTTGGATTCATACTAGACGTTTAACTAGTCTGAACTTGTCGATCTTCTGCAGAATTCTTTTTCATAAGTCTAATCAGATTATTGTACATCTTGGAGTTTATTGGAGATATTAGCCAGCTGCACCCACACACTGCCAGATAAGCACTTTATTTACGTCAGCATAAAGTGGATAGAAAGCGGACCTTCCTCAGCACATTGTGTAGTGATGAAATTAATTCCACTATTTCCCAGGACAATTTACAAAGTGAGCTCGTACAGCAGTTGTATAAACGTGAAGTAATTGAAGAACTGCTCACCGAAAGTCCAGTTATGGCTCAAAGAAGAAAAGAAGCGGCTGAAATGCTTAGTGTATGTTGTGTTAGTATTTATTTTCTCGGAATATCTTTGTTTTTTTTTTTTTTGAAATGCTTTTCTGGATACAATGGCAGTTAGTCTAAGTACTTTTTAGGCGCTCAATAAGGCGAACAATATAATTAGCGAAGTTCGTGAAACGCAGATTTGGTGAGGATATCCTTATTTTGATGGCGTTATCGTCCAACTGCTGTTAGATTATATTGTAAGCTTACTATACGCGAATAATACTTATATTGTCATTTGTATCTGATAAAAAATTTAGAAGCTTAACATGTTTTGTATTCCTTCAACTTTCACAAACGCGCAACTATCTTGCTCAAATGTTTTAAAAAGGACAGAGTGGATTTGACTGTATATCCCAGAGTTCCATGTGATCACGCATTGATCATCGTTTCGTGCTATGTTTATGGACTGTCCTCGCTTTTTCCATGCTGTCAGTTAACCAGTGGCAGTACATGTGGCTAGTTTCCAGAAGCAATAAAAGCACCAAACTCTTTGTTGAATTTGTTCCATAAGTGATTTCGAAGTGGACCACTGGGCTAGTCAGTTATTCCAATGCTGCTCGCGACAGGTACTCTGATAAGGAAAAGAATTAATCTGCAAGTTATGGAAATAGCAAAGAAAAACACAAAGATGAAGTACCGGTATAAACTGCAAAGTTCTCAGAGTAAATTACTGTGGTAATCCAGCCATCAGAATTTTACGTGTCACGAAGACCATCGAGAGTTTAAAGAATTTTTTCCCTGGTTTTTGCGTTGCACAAGAGAAATATACAAGAACTTTACAAAGTGAAGCAAAATATGGTAGTACTTCCTATTCTCTTTTGATCTTGCTCAATATGGAGGATGTAACCATCGTTCCGAGACTGTAAACAATAAACATCACCGAAAAAAGCGGTAATGAGCATAACAGTAAAACCTGAAATGAGAAGACCTAACAGTGAGTAAATTTAAAGTGACTAAATTTAAGGTTCAATATACTCAAACTCTCTTTTCCGCATTCATATTCATAGACATTCATAATTTTTAATTATTCCTGCGTTAGTATTATCCTAACTTTTTAAAGTATGGCAGCATATGTTGCTGATAATTTAACAAAATGTTGTTACATTTTCAGAACCTACAGCAAAGTCGCAGTTGGATCGATAGGGCGTTAATCTCACTTCCAGCATTGCTTTATTTTTCTCATCACACAAGTATGATTTTGCGTAACCTGAAAACTTTTGTATAGAAGATGATACCAAATTTAATTTGAAAATTATCGTTTTGATGAATCAATTATATAACAAGTTGAGACAATATGCTTACCATTCTCTCCTTGTGAAGCATTCAGGAATTGCGAGTCGGATATTTTCACTTCCGCTTTGTCTTTTATCCGCGTTTTTTCACATAATAAATTTACCTAAAACAAGCATATTTCGAATAATGTAATACCGATAAATCACAGCATTTGAAATATAGAGGTTGTGATTTTTTTGGACATAGATGTAAGGAAAAAACTCCGTGAACAATGCGGGATTTCCGAATAAATCATACCGGAAAATTCTTATCCTCTAAGTCCCCGTACTTGTTTTCCATTGTTCTTAATTGTTTTTTTAACTGTGTGACATGATCTCGAAGTAAGGTATTTGCATCCACCGCTACAGAAAGTTCATTTTCTAAATCAGCAACTCGCTGTCTGAGAACCGATGACTCTTCCTCTAGAACACACATAAATAATTATTAGATAATGTCCCTACTCACTTTTGCAGATAAACTTGTGAAAATTGATGAGGATTTCGTACCAGCATTAAGTAGGCTTCTTTCAACATCAGCAAGTCGTTGCAAAGCTTCACATCGTTCTTCTTGAGCTCTACGTAAAAACTCCTTTGCAAGTGACTCAAATTTATTTTTATCCACAAGTAAGTTTCTCATCTGCTCTTTCACCTTTTCGCTAAGAAAATTTTTCGAATACAGTGCAAGTTGTCCTTCTAACATTTCGATTCGCGATAGTAACTGATCCTCGCTTATCAATGCCTGAAATAATGATGGTGGCAGTGCAAAGATTCAGGCTACCTTCTTGCTTAAATACTTTCAAATTCATTGTATTTAATATAATCCGTCATCAAAATAGTGTTTTCTACATGATAAATCTTCAGGTTGGAAATTCAAAATTTCAACAATTATTCAAAAACGGGATAACTTAAGATGAGAAAAGTGACTTTACGTGAAGCCAAGCCTTTGTACTCTTGCGAAAGTGAGCTATTCCACCTATTTTTCATCCTCTTCAAAACTTGGCAATTATTTGCAATAATTACCTGACAACTTGATTCAGCTGCCTGTTCAGTAGAGGAAAGAATATTCTCCAACATTGCAAGCTTTTGTTTGAGTGCTCGTTCCCGATACATTGCTTCACGCATGTAATGTTGCAACTGGAAGAGCTGGTGGAAGTCAACCAGTGGAAACATCAGGGAATCATTATCATGCGCTCTTAAATACCCATTAATTTCCATATTATCCGGAGGGCAAGACTCTTCACCATTTGCATCATAAAGACGTATCATGGCCAAGATACAACCATGAGTCACTAAAAACATTTAATTCTGTAGGAGTTAGAAAAGGCATTAATATGATCAAAAAAATAGGATTCTAGACTCTTAAGATTAAGAAACATAATTAACTTAGATCTGGTGCTTATATATATATATA